TAATTATTAATTAAATGATCATCTCATAAATCGATCGAATGGAGTCGTTCTCTTTATTACATTTTTTAGTTAGTCGCTTAAATAAAAAAATCAATTAAGTATCGTTAGGTAAAGTGAAATGAAAAGAGCAATTTCTTTAAAAATGCAACTAAAACAAAATTAAATGGACGGTAATCAATATAGCAGAGTGAACCAAATTTAGACACGATGCAAATAGCTGTCATGAACGTGGGCTCAAAAATATTTAGTTGATTTGACATAGGTTGTTGGATAATAATAATAAATAAATAAATAAATCGTATGTCGTTGCTTATCTCCACAAAGCCATCATCTAATTATGAAAGTGGGACATTTTTTTCTTCTACAATACATGGTATGAAATACGTAGAGTTGTTACTCTCATGTCCACACTTTTAATAGTCATGTTATGCTTTTTAAAAATTTATTTGACTAATTTTTAAAGTTAAATTAGATCTCATTAATTCGATATTTTAAACAAAAAATTTAGATATTCAAAAACTATACAAAAAGTACTATAAATTACAATTTTTGCATATCAATATGATGAAAAAACACATCGTAAAATTTTAGTCAAATAAATTCTGATAATTTCACTCTAAAGAAGAAACCATGACAATTAAAAATAGACGGAGGGACTAGTTTATACTACATGTTTAATTTATCCAAAGATGACATAACAAATGAAACTGATCATCAAGATTCAAAGATTATAAAATCCAATGGAATCTGTCAAAACTAATGTGGAAAACAAAACTATGTTACTATTGAGATAATATTTTCGTGTCTGTTGGTGAGAATATGATCAAATTATAATGGTCCTTGAATGTACGGGAGTGGGAATTGTTTTTTCATATATACCACATAGTCGAAATAGTTTTTGATGTATAAAAAATAATCATTTTGGTCTTTTATATATACCATATATCATATAATCAAAATAGTCGTAGTTCATGAAAATAATTGTTCTTATTTTCGTCTTAAACCTTAAAGGTAACAATGTAAGTAAAAAAAAATTGTTAAATTTAACCACCCATTTACGAAAAGAAAGCAAAATCTAACCTCTTATATTTATTTATTAGACTATATATTATTATAAGAATAAAGTAAAGTATTACCCAACGAAAGTTGAATTTTTCAGTAGATATGATTTTTGCATTATCAAGCTCAAAGTTCTTTGATTTTACCAACCACACATTGTTAATGAACTTAAGATCTATGTCTTCGTCCATGTAATTATTATTTGATAAATATACAGGTTAGGAATTTTGCCTTAAACTTCTTCATCAGTTAGATGAATCTTTTTGAAGAAAAAAAAAATGTATCGATACTTTTGAAGTAATGGTCGTAAGAGTTTTATAAGTTTTTTTTATTTTAAATACTAGATAAGAATTGCCCGTGCTATGCACGGGCCCAACGGGTATGATTTTGAAAAAACTATAACTTTTCTCTATCGTAGTTTGATTATAATGAACAAATATTGTTGCTATACAAATAAAAGAACAGGATACAATATTGCTAAACTATTTTTATAAATACATAAAAGGCTCAAAAGTACAAGTACTACAATAAATACATCATTAGAATTTCTCTCATGCTCAATTAACAATGCTCCCTAAATACGTAAAAGTTTCAGAAGTATAAGTACTACGATAAATACATCATTAGAATCTCTCATGCTCAATTCACGATGCTCCCTAATAGACGAGCACTTGCAAGAGAGCTAGCATCAAATCTAAAATTGTTATAAGCTTTATTATAGAACTCTATTGTTGCAAAACAAAGACATTATTGAAATCATACTCAACAGTCATAAGATGACACATTTTTCAGAAATGGCTCAGAAATTTTAGTGGTAGTTCAATTTGGTATTTGCTTAGCCCAAACTACAAAGGGATGTACTCATAGGGGAGCTTACATATTCATTGCCAGAAAAAAATCAAAATTATCGTTTCAATTTTTCATTTGTACTACAATTAAGACCTCAACTTAAGGCCTATTCGTTTAAGTGTAATAATATTTTAAAAAATAACAGAAATATATAGAAAAATTCGAAGTAACTAAAAGTCCAAAAGGCTCTTCAAAGTAGAAAAATAAAAGTACCTCCATTCCCAAAGTAAACACATTATATCATTCAAAGTAAACATAAAAAGCTTAACGGAGCTTAACCTAATTTTACCATACCCACACATTCATCACAATAAAAGGTGATTCCTAGTCTAAGTTTGTTCAACTTCTTGTTGCTTATCCTCTCTTGAATTATCCTTGTATCACTCTCCATACTATCAAATCAAAAAGGAAAAATTGTATGAGATCCATAGCATCATATTAATTACCTCAATTATCATAGATCACAACATTGATATTCAAGAATTGCGTTCAAAAAATCATCACCAAGATATTAATGATTTGCATTTTTGAAAGAAACTATATGTACGCACTGTTTAACCTATAAAATTTAAAAAATCTTCATAATTATTTACAAGAATACCACATATACAGTGTAATTCTATAAGTGGGGTTTGCAGAGGTTAGGATCAAGGTACGCAGACCTTACGTCTTCTATCTTTATAAAGTAGATAAACTGTTTTTTGATACATGCTCGGTAGGTAAGAAAAGAATTTGAATCATGGAGCAAGATGTTGATAGCAAGATACAAAGCATATTTTTTTTATAAATTTTTTATAGTATCGTATATTTTTGAGAAGTCCACAAAAATTAAATAGCAAGAAAAATAAAAAAGGTTAAAGTGATGAAAAATTTCACCTAGCTTGAATTTCAAGAATAAAATATCGTATAAATTGACGGAAAGAATATGTATTTATATAGGTATTTATGGATGCTTTCCGTTTTTTTAATTTCATGAAATTAGTATAAAAACTTATGTAATTATTTATCAAAAACATTGATGCTCTTTCCGTTATATTTTCTTTTTGAAATTAGTATCAAAATTTATGCTATTTTTTTTT